GGGTCGGAATGGTGACGGGAGTGGAGATGGGTGTGGGGGTCACAGCACGGCGCATCTCCTCAGGAGCTGGTGGAGCAACAGGGTAGCTGGCCACGGAAGCTGTCTTGGAGGGTGGCCGTGGTCTTGGAGTAGCTGCAGCATAGTAGGGTGCCATGGTCACTGGGGCCAGCAGCGGTGTGACAGCACGGGTGTCAGGCAGAACAGTGGGGGGTGCAGCAGTCGTTACCACCACGGGTGGTGCTGGTGGTGGCAGGGAAACAGGTTTGGGCTCCCCTGTTACCATGACTGGTGTCATTGTTGCGACAGGCATCTCAAGGCTGTACCGGTTTGTCATGCCCTGCTTAAGCTTCTTCCACCCCAAGTGATATATCTCAAGCATGTTCAGCAGCAAGGAGACAGAGGCCACCACCAACATGAAGATGATGAAGATGGTCTTCTCAGTGGGCCTTGAGATGAAGCAGTCCACGGTGTGAGGGCAAGGTGAGCGGCTGCACTGGTAGACTGGCTTTAGCTCGAAGCCGTATAGGAAGTACTGTCCCACAATGAAGCCCACCTCAAACAGCGTCTTGAAAATTATGTTGAAGACATAGGTACGGAGCAGGGCACCCCCCATACGGATTCTACCACGTTCATCGCGGATTGGGAGCTTCTCCTTCCCCTTTTTGCCAAGAGGATTCTTGATGTTATTGCTGCCTCCTCCACCACCACTGCCAGACGCTGCTGCTCCTGGGTAATTACTTTCTTTGACGCTTCCCTTCTTTTTCAGCTCTTCTTTCTCTTTCCTCTTCTCCTCCATGCGTACAATGTGCAGCACATGGCCCAAGTAGATGAGAGTTGGAGTGGAGACAAAAATGATCTGCAGCACCCAGAAGCGGATGTGAGAAATGGGGAAGGCCTTGTCATAGCAAACATTTTCGCAACCAGGTTGCTGAGTGTTGCATGTAAAGTCTGACTGCTCGTCTCCCCAGACCTCCTCAGCAGCGGCCCCCAGCACCAGAATCCTGAAGATAAACAGTACTGTCAGCCAAACCTTGCCAATAACCGTGGAGTGCTCCTGCGCATTCTCTAGCAGTCTCCCCAGAAAGCTCCAGTCACCCATTGTTTCAGATTTCTAACCTACAATAAGAACATTAGAGCAATGTTAAAAAATCTTGTAATTAATTATACAATGCGAGGGCAGAACAGATTGATCCTCAACAAAGGACATCTCTTAAGTTCACTTCCTTTTGCAGAATATTGCACACCTATGTTAAGAACTACATAACCCTGTGACTGCAGCCGTGGGTTTTGGAGAGCACAGAAGTGGGATGAGTAGTGCTTTCACCTAGCTGATACAAGTTTAAGTGTCTATACACAATGACAAGCAAAAATTATTCATAACCAGGATTTCTACAAGATTTAAATATTTTTAAATCATTATTTCTCTGTTTCCTCCACCTAAGATTACTCTAACTGTTCTTGCCTATTTTTAGAAAAGAACAGATGGAAATCAGTTCAATTAAACAGAATATTTGTACTTGACTGCACTTGTATCAGAGTGTCATACAAAGTTTGCCTCACTCTAATAATTTTATTGTTATCAGGACTTATTGACTCCAGCATTCAGGATGTTAGTAATGTCCCAGGTCTCTGCTGTTTTCATACTGTATGAACAAAGAAAAATAATTACTCAAAACCTATGGAATTTACAGTTTAATTTTGGAATGTGTACACCAATGACAAGCATGTTCTCCAAGCCTACTCATATTTGAGTTTGTTTATTTCTAAAAAGAGATAATTATTTGAATAACTTGAAATATTCAGAAGAATTAGAAATTCTGAGAGGAATGGTGGAAAGGTTTCTGTGCCATCTCCCCCTGTCGTGCCAGTCGGTGTTACTGAACCAGATGTACTGCCAACATTATTTAAAAAAACAAAAAAAAAACTCAAGGGCACTTCAGAAACTGCGCACAGAGACTTTCTCAGAAAAAAAAAAAAAACACAAAAAACCCCCTATGACCATATTTCTGTGTTTATCATACTTCTATGATAAACAACTGGTACATATTCTCAGTAGCTTCCACCAACTCATATATGACGGGCTTCCAATGTTCAGTTGTAGGCAGTGACACAACTTCTGATTTGGTAAGGCTTAAAGGACAAGATATTTTTAAGATCGAATTCCTTACAAGCTGCCTTCAACTGAGAAACAAGGTATTATCTGCTGGTATCACTTCTGGTTTTCTTGGCCTGTTCCTAATTGCTGTACACATAAGAATATTGGAATAAATGTAAGAAGTATATTTCCTTCTCCTAATGAACACACTTCTATATTTTACATATCAACCTTCAGTTGAAAACAAAACACAAAACTTTACTTTCAGCTAACTTCAATACTGTCAGAAACACTTAGATCGTAATTATAATTCAGATATAACAATTTGCATCCAAAACACCACTATCAGAAAAGACTGATTATCCTCGTTTAAAAAACTCAGAATATTTCATAAATATAACTGAATTACCCTGTGCTTTTTTATTTTTATACTTATACTTCTTGTCCAAATACCCATGTGCTTTAAAATTCCCAAGAAAAAACGTTCATCATTACAGGTAGGAATTTACCACTGAGAAAATGTGGTAAATGTACTGTACTGTAAATATAACACTGTACTGCTCTGAGTATTATATTTACTGTGATTTACAACAATGATGGTAACTGTTTTTCCAAAGGACGCATTTCCAAAGTCTGTGCTGAACTTCTTTCAGGCTTTTAATTAAAGTAATTAAAGAAATTAAAGTTATTTCAGTTACTTTTTTTATAACTTGATTTTACTATGTGACAATTAAATACCTATAACTGCAGAATAGTATGCTATCACACAAAAAGCAACAACACACCCATTAGTATTTTGCATTTTTATACATCCTGGGATATGAGTTTACTTTTTATCCCCACAAAGTTAATTCAACAAAAACTTCCCCTGAAAAAAAACAGATCTTTGATATTCTACAAATAAACATTACCTTTCATATAATTGAATACTTTTTCCAGCAAAGCAAGATAAACTGCAAATTACAATATTAACAATGAAATATCAATTTTGTATAGTAATGTCCCTGGTCCTAAAACAATTTAAAATATTTTTTTTTTAAATATATTCAGAGTTTTTTTAAGGAGTATATTTTTTCCCCTCTTAAAATAGTAACCCAAAATTGAATAAATTTTGTTAGAATATTTTTATTATCCTAATTTAATATGTTGATATGATTTTAAAAGTTAATCTTCAATCTTAATTTTATGAGGTTTGTAATATTTTGGGTGGTGAAGCAATTTTAACCTTGAGAAGTACAAATTTTTTAGGGAATAATGAATTAATTGTGTATCATTTTTACTCAAAAACATTTGAAGATATACTCAGTTTAGTTCCAACTTGGGACAGATCTAAACTCTTATTTGGGAATGTTCTCATT